TCACCCCCGTCCCAACACACACATGTTCACACACCCGCAATGGCATGGAGAAATTAAAAGCTACTCTTTGAAAATGAAAGCACGCATCCTGTTCATTTGTAGAGGTTATAGAGGGCATTCTTAAAACAACTGTTCTCATTTACCTTTTCAAGAGTGTTGCTGTTCACCTTTAAATACACACCTGAGATCAGCGTTTGTAACAGAGCCATACCTTGGGGTTGTGTTCACACACAGAAAGAGGAAAATCAATTTCAATCCCTGAAGGATGGAATTACTGGCACAGAAGGTCACTAAATGCTAGCACTGCTCAGTGGGCTTGGAACAAGATCCTTGTCGGCACTGCTTCACTGCACGGGCAGCCCAGGGAGGAGGGCAGCCTGCAGACTCTCACTCCCAGCCCTTCCCCACGAGGCAAGAGAAAGGTGTCGCTTGTACAAGGCACAGATAAATACTTTAAAAAGCAAAAGGGGAGAGGCAGACACGTGCATGTGCAACGCGGAGATGGAGACTTATGTTTGCACCTAATACTCTAGAGAAATTGACCAAGCCTGGCTCAACCAACTGAAAATATGACTTCTGTAATGCTGTCAAGGTCACTTGTCAGAGTGGGTTATCTGCTCCCCAAGGGCTTGCTGCACAGATTGGCCTCACCAAAGGGACATAACTCACGGCTCTATCTCAGGGAAACCTCCCAGGCCTGGTTACCATTTTGCTCCTGCCCTTCCCTGCCCGGGTATCTGATTCAGGCCATCTGTGGTCTATAGTGGGTATGGGCTGAGGCTGGAACCTGTGCCAGTGGTCATGGCAGCCCTGAGCCCTTCTCCAGATGTCAGCATACTGGTACCATTTCTGTCATCTCAGAGATTATTATGAATATATTATTGGAAACCGCATGAATGGTAACAAGGTCCGAGGCACAGAGGGACAGGAGAATGAAGACAGATGGGCATCTTCTCTAGAAGATGTGTGAGAACTGCATACCTGTTCTCAAGAGCACACACATTTTTCTCCTGATGGGAGGAACAGGGTTTCATGGAAAGATCCAGGGCATGGAAGTCAAATAGATCTGCAGACTTGAGTCTGACTCCTGGCTCCACTCACGAGCTATGGGACTTTGGGACATTATTTACCCTCTCTGGGGTTCTGTTACCTAATCCATTAAAAAGCTGATGGACGTAAAGTGCCTGGCGCCAAGCCCATGCTTCTCACGTGTGTATTCCAGCCAGTTCCCAGCAAAGCATTGCCACATAGTTCTCTTTTCTTGCCGTCTCTTACATTGGCCCTTGTTTATGCCCAAAATCTCCAGGCTGCTTTTGCTTCCTGTCATCACGTTTGAGGGTTGGCTCGGCCTACTCTTTACCAAGCTCTTGGCACTGGGGACTGTGGGACTGGATCATCATGAGAAAAACGTAGCCAGATCAGAGCATCACATTCCCAGGCAGCGTGATGATGGGGACAGAGGCGGTAAGGAGGAAGAAGAACAAAGGTGTGTCTCCTCCTCTTCCTTCTCCTCTTGTGCTCCTATCTAGTCCCCAGGACCTGGGAAACCAAGAAAGGAGACTAGCCGGCTGCATTGCAGTCAGTCAGCTGTGATTCTAAGCTCATTGTGGGGAGGGTCATAAAGGAGATGCCGGCTCTGGACATTGAGTCCCACATCCTCCCAGGACGAGGGAATGTAAATATCACTCCTAGCTGGGATGATCAGGAGCTCTGATATACCTAAGCAGAAAATACCAAGATTTTTTTTTTTTTTTTTTTTTTTTTTGAGGAAGATTTGCCCTGAGCTAACACCTGTGCCAATGTTCCTCTATTTTGTATGTGGGTCACCGCCACAGCATGGCTGCAGACAAGTGATGTGGGTCTGTGCCCTGGAACCGAACTTGGGCCACCAAAGTGGAGCATGCCGAACTTAACCACTAGGCCACAGGGCTGGCCCCTGGAGACCTTTTTGTAAAACAAAATTTCAGGTCTCATTTTCCAGCAGTGAGAAAGATGACTTAAAATTACAAATGGCTTCCCAAATCTAAGATATATGGCTGCCAACCTCAGTAGGCCTCCTGGGAGAGATTATCAAGAAACTTTAAATCTGATGAGTCAGGTCCTTCCTGGGATTAAGAGTCTCAGAGGTGAGAAAGTCTGTCCCAACCTGTGATGCCCTGTGTGGGCAGGGCATGCCTCCTGCAGTGACAGCTAAAGTGTGTTGAAGGAAAAATAATTCACGACACTTGTTAAGGATGGTAAGGCAGACTTTATTCAGTGGGGGCCACTACAGTGGGGTTTCGTAGTAGGGGAGAGATTGGACTCAACTCTGACTCCAATAAGGACAAGTGAGGATTTGTAGTGAAGGAGAGGTGGGGGTCAGGGGATGGGAAACATCAGGGGTAAGGGGGATTCGTGCTAGACCAACTCAATAGAATTCTTGCTGAAGGCAGGCCAGGGTGATAAGACATCAAGTGTGGTCAGACACCAGGGGTGTGGGATTTTCGCTAAACTGACTTAGCAGAATTCCTACTCAACTGGATTCTACACGGACAGAGGGGCCTAGTCTAGTAGAGGACTCCAGAGAGCCTGGTTAAAGTTTGGTCAAAGGAGAGTCTTTGTCAAGTTACTGGGCCTGACTGTGGGTTTTGGCTGATTATAGGGGGACAAGGTATTTCTGAATGCAGCTCTGGGCTGGTGGAAAGTGCTTTGAGTTCAGGAACTGAAAGAAAGGTCAAGAAGTTAGCTTCTTCTTTATGGAGCTTTTATTGTCAAGAGAGGCTTTTCCAACTTTCATGAGCCCAGCAGCAGTGGCAGGAACAGCAAGGAATACCAACAGTCAGCCTCATGCCTAAGCAGCAGGAATGCGGGACGCAGTTGCTGCACCGGTCCACCAGGTGGCAGAGCGAGAATGGCATGGCCATCCCAAGAAGAAAACGATGGTGGCCAAGGGCAATGGTGAGCTGCAAGGAGTTGGACCAATGTTTGGGGGCCAGCCATATTTGGTGGGAATCTCAATATGAAGGATATTTTTATTCTTATCAAGGCCGTTACTCATGCCCTTGGTTATGTAGACCCTGGGGAAATAAGAAGTTATACTCAAAACTTGTTAGCATTTGTAAAAAAAATGAAAAGATGATGAGCCATTTGGCAAAGATTGTTTCTGTTTGGGTAAATTAGAGTTGATGCATTTAATTGGGGTTCAGAGATCACTTTCAAAGAAGGTAAGGTTGCTGACTTCTCCCTTGGCCCAGTCTGATAGGAGCAACTTCTACTTCCTTTCTTTGCACTCCTTGGCCCCTAACCTGCGAAAAGGATTCCACTGACAGTTGGAGCTGCCTCCAGCGGCTCCCCAGCTCCAGTTCCCCGGATGTGGGCCCTGCCTCAGAGAACAAAGGCAGAGAACGCAGTAGCTCCATTGCCTGTGGCTGACCAATATGGGCAGGCTGCTGCTGTCACTCCCAGCAGCTCTGGGGAACCCTGGACGAGGAGAAAAGGAGAATCTTGGGAGCAGGGCTACCCTGAGGCCAAGTGGAGAAGGAAGCAACTTCTCTTCAAACCACAGTCCAGTGGCAGACTCAGTTACGCAGGATCTTTAGATTGGCCTCACCCTCTGCCCCCTCTCCAGCTTGGCTTTCCCACTTCATTCCACTCTCCATGGGAAGGAAAGCCACTTATTGAGCAGAAGCAAATGTTACTGATAATACTATACTGCAGAGCAGCTTTTAGACAAATATCAACTCATTTAGTTTTCACAACAAGCTTATGAAAATCTCATTATACCCACTTAGCAGATGAGGAAATTGAGGCACCAGGAGGTCAAGTGACTTGCCTAATACCACAGAGCTGGTAAATGACAGAGCCTGGATTCCAGTTCACATCTGTCTGACTCCACAGACCATTCTCTTTTCAGAACAGCAGGTTGCCTGATATTATAGCATTGTTTTATGTGTTACCCCTCCCAGGACTGTTTGCATTTTGAAAGAAAGAGCCTGAAAAGGACAAGACTAAAGATGAACACAAAGATGATCTCTTGGCCCAAATGTCGGCAACCTCATCCATGCCAGATAAATATTCCCAGAGTTTGGATCTTAATTCCTGTAGATTATTTTTCCTTCTTGCTACACTTGATCTGGCTGCTAGACGCATTTCTTGACATTCTTTCTATTTTATTATAGGGATTAAGAAACGGAATGTGGGGCCAGCCCGGTGTCATAGTAATTAAGTTCAGCATGCTCAGCTACAGCAGCCTGGGTGTGTGGGTTTGGATCCTGGGCGCAGACCTACACCACACATCAAGCCATGCTGTGGCAGTGACCCACATACAAAATAGAGGAAGACTGGCACAGATGTTAGCTCAGCGCCAATCTTCCTCAAGCAAAAAGAGGGAGATTGGCAACAGATGTGAGCTCAGGGCCAATCTTCCTCACCGAAAACAAAAACAAAAAACAAAGAAATAGAATGTGTTAGATGCATTTTCACAATTGCAAATCAACACGTTCAACAGAAGTGACCCACCAAGACATCTAAGTGGCTGAGAACCATCAGTGTGTGCCATGCCAGAGGACCACAGTGATGTCACCTTCATCACCATTATGATGAGCCCACCCTGTCCTCCTCTCCATTGTCACAGCCCAATGCCTCCAGGAAACCTTCCTGCACTTATTACAATGGTGGGATGTGTTTTTAAATAGATTACCGTTTTAATGATCCTGCATTTGGAAGCATCCAATATTTAGACTATTGTATTCATTTCCTAGGGCTGCTGTAAGAAAGTACCACCAACTGGGTGGCTTAAAACAACAGAAATGTATTCTTTCACAGTTCTGGAGGTGAGAAGTCCAAACTCAAGGTGTTGGCAGGGCAGTGCTCCCTCCAAAGGCTCAAGGAAAGACTTCTTCCATTGCCTCTTCTAGTTTTGGTGGTTGCCACTAATTCCACTCCTTCCTTGGTTTGTGGACACATCACCCCAATCTCTGCCTCCATCTTCACATGGCGTTCTCTTGTGTGTCTGTGTCCAAATTTCCCTTTTCTTATAAGGACACCAGTCATCAGATTTAAGGCCCACTCTCATCCAGCATGATCTCATCTTGATTACATCTGCAGACTCTATTTGTAAATAAGGTCACATTCATAGGTATGGGGGGCTAGGACTCCAACATATCTTTTTGGGGGCCACAATTCAACTCACAATAACTAACTGCCACATGCAGAGCAGACATCAATCATGGATCACGGGATTTTCTTTGAGGCAGACTAGACACCTCAATCCTTCTCCACGCAGCTATCCTGGCTGTATCTCCAAGCAGTCAGAGCCAGCACCTGAGGTGAAACCGATTTGCCATCACAAGTCCCACTAAAGGAATGAAGGGCTGAGTCTGTAATGATGGCAATCTGGCACGTGGTGATGAGCTTGTGCGGGAGATGGTGCCGGCACCCTCCAAGCCCAGTGCAGGCAGCCTTCCATTCACTTTATGCATAAACTGGGTCCTGCTGGGAGTCATCCTGGATAGCTCTGTCTCCAGACCATCTCCCCCTCGGCCTAGCAGGTACCATGACACGTGACCACAGCCTTAGGTTCAGGGGGAAAAGGTCCCACTGCTTTTTCCGAGTCCACATGCATTGTAGCGTGGCCTGGTTCCAACTTCACTCCATGACTGCCTTTCTCCTCCTCCACCCCTGCAAATTAGAAATCCTGATACACAGCCATCTCACAGGGCTGGGGGGCAATTTAATTACTGTTTATAAAGCACTCTGAGGTCTTCAGATGAAAACTGCTGCGTAAGTGCAAAATTATTATTAGTTCTCAGCCTCCTGTCCCTTGACTTCTGACATGGGCTTTTGTTATTCCTGAATGGGTGCCCTTTAAGGGCTGTCCAGCTGGCTCCTTCGGGTACATAGGCAAGCACATACACATTTGCAGATTTTTTTCCCTTTGAAAAAAGCATTCCGACTCTGTGGGACGTCTTGAAGCTTTTCAGTGTCTGAATTTCTCTCCACTTGTCTCTACTAAGCACTGTAATCGACAAAAGTAGATTGTAAACAGGCTACTTTGGAAAAGAGGGAGGGGAGAGAAATGGTCAATTTGAAGAAATGGCCCCTCTTATAATGAAGAATAATACAATATCTCCTTACCATGCAGAATCTGAATGAACCACTAAGTGAGGTCTGTCTCCCTTGCCCAGAGGGATTCTGCACATGTTTCTGTTTTGAAAGGAGGAAGGAAGAGAAGGTCTGCTTTCAGCGCCCAAGTTTCACTTCCTTCCATCCCCCTAACTTCTCAGGAACCATGGAAACACATACATCCCGCCTAGATGATGTTTTCCTGGTAGTTCTTTGTTACCTAACTGTGCGCTTGCCCAGGATCCCATGGGGAGAATGAAATAAAGAAGTGGAAAAGGAAGCAGATACGTCTGCAAGTGAAATGCCTTGTCTCTGAAGGACGAAGTGGGGCTCCTGCGCAATTTATCAAGCTCTGGGGCAACAGAGAATGTTACACAGTCAATTTCCTTTTCTCTAAAATGTATTCAGACCCTTCCCACGTTGCCCACACACAACCTGTTAGGATCCCTTGAATGCATCTTTGGTTTATCCACAACTTTGTTTGCAAGGTCTGTTAGTCAACCAACTGCTGTAAGATTTTATTTTTAAAAATCACTAAGGAGAAATTACGTAATGTAATCAGTCGGACAAAAGTATGATGGTACAGAACCAATGAAAGAAGCAAATGTTAGCTCTATGATTGTAAACGGGAAAAATAAACCTAAAGAGCTTGGATGATGCACCCTGTATTTCCTAAATCAACTAATCGCTGATCAAAAATAATATCAAATTATATAAGGAGAAAACCAGGAATATCTGCTGGGACAGGAAAGTTGAGGCTGGAGTGGGAGTTAAGATGGATAAAACCAGCGTTTGTCATGAAACATCTACGATTCTAGCAGCACCAGAAGCTTTCTAGTAGCTGTCACGATGGCTATGACACACGGGGACCTCTTCTGTGGTCTAAGATGACTAAGTTCAGCCAGTTATGTAGAGGTCAAGATGGAAGAGATAGTTTCTTTTTCTCCATTCTGTTGTGTTTTTTTTTGTTTTTTTTGTTTTTGTGAGGAGATCAGCCCTGTGCTAACATCCGCCAATCCTCCTCTTTTTTTGCTGAGGAAGACGGCCCTGGGCTAACATCTGTGCCCATCTTCCTCCACTTTATATGGGACACCGCTACAGCATGGCTTGCCAAGCAGTGCGTCGGTGCGCGCCCGGGATCCGAACCAGCGAACCCCAGGCCGCCGCAGCGGAGCGCGCGCACTTAACCGCTTGCGCCACCGGGCCGGCCCCCATTCTGTTGTTTTTAAAAAGGAAAGGAGACCTAAGTAAAAAATAAAAAGTATGTACAGCAGCTAGGGTCATGAGAAAAGCCAGGACTGAAAACAGAAAGGGCAACATTTGGGAACCAGCTTGTTTCTATTCCTTCTTTTCTCTTCCATTGATGCTGTGCTTCTGTGGGCTTCCATCAGCCTGCTAGATGGTCTTCTTCTTCCCATCTCCTCCAGCTCTTTCATTTCACCCTTCACTTTGTTGTTCTGGTAATTAGCCTAGAAATGGATCTAATTATATGGCTCCCCAACTAAAAATCCTTCGATACTGCCCCACCATACAAATTCTCTACAAGAACTTGTCTATCCTCCATTATCGCCTTCTCCCTGGTTGGCCTGGGCTGTGGGTGCCCTGTGCCCACAAAAACTCTCATACATTTCTCTGTTCAAGGGTGCTCTCTATCTTTCTGCCTTTGCCTTTCCCACCCCCCATCCCATTACTACTATTGAAAATCCTGCTTATCTTTCAAGTCCAAGTTCAAATGGAATCAGTTCTTTAAAGTCTTCTAAGGTGCTCCCACAAGAATTTGGAACCTCCCACAGTCCTTTTTCTGTGTTCCCACTATTCTCTGTCTACTTGCTAATGGTAAGTAAAACAAGTAGTGGTACTTACAGCTCTGAGCTCATTTCTCCCTCCACTGGATTGTAAGCTCCTTGAAAGGAAGGATTGTCTCTTGCTTTTGAGTATTACACAGACCGCCTACAACTGTATTATGTCTGGAGTAAATGCTCAACAAATATACTTATGCATAATTTCATCCATTCAACAGACACTACAAAAAGGCAGGTGGTACAAGTGTGACTTCTTATACAATTTAATGGTGAAAGTTAGAAAATAAGTACACCTAGTCTTGAGAAGACAAAAAATAGAAATAATAGACTCTGACCAAAGAAGTGATTGATTGTATCTTACCAACCAATTAGATCAAATCTGGCTCTGCAAACAGTCAGTGGCAAAACTATGAGGAACAATTGCCGTTGAATTAAGCAAACAGCTCCTATCCTAAGATTTCCAGGCCTTTGGCTATTTTTACAGAGGAAAGATGGAGTAATAAACAATTATCCAGTTAATGCAGCCAAATAAAGTTGCCAATGAGGAAAGAGGTGAGGAACCAGACTGAGTTATCCAGAGACTCCCGACTCTTACTGTGCTGTGGGGTCAAACACGCAAGCCTCATGTACTCTCCTCATGTCCACAGGCTGCTGTCAGATCTCTTCTGCAGCCCCAGCAAATAATCGGGCTCTGCTGGGTTCTGTGAGTGCAGCTTAGTATTTTCTATGATGAAACTTGCTAAGAATTACTATGAAAACAAAAACCACAGGCCTTCATTTGGAAGGATGAGCTGATATTCATGCCTGTGTTTGTGTCTTAGGACATCCCAAGGTTAAATTATTATAACTGTAGATCTAATTCCAGAGACAAAGGAGGCTCCGAGAACAAAGCTTTCTCTGGCAGTGGAGACAAAGAGTAAATATGGTCCACGGTTATCTACCTTCCTCTGAAATACCTTGATAGGCCTCAATCAAGCCAGTGGAAAGCCAGTTCACTCTCCTTGATAAATTCCGCCCTGCCCACCAGGACCACCCCCCACCACCACCACACACGCACACACACAACTTCTCTTATACCAAAGACTAGGTGTGAAATGTTGAGTCAACTTGATCTCAAATTTCCATCGTGTTTTTAGCTTAAGTCAGCCAAAATTGATGAAGGGCAGCCCCCTCTCTCTGGTTTCTCAGGTACTATAATTCTAATGGCTGTGAAGCATTTAGTTTCATCGTGTACTAATCCTCTGAAAGCAACATGACTCCCCCACCAAGTCATTCATTCCTTTTAACAAAAGCACTTTGTCTGTCAAAGATTCATGGTCACTGTCACTTTCTCTTCTTTCTTGTTCTAATGTTAATCCAGGGTTTACTATTCGCCAGACACTGGGCTAAGCTCTTAGAGATATTACCTCATTTAATCCTCACAACAAACTATTAGGCAGATACTATTCTTATTCCTTTTTTTGTGTGTGTGTGAGGAAGATCAGCCCTGAGCTAACAACCATGCTAATCCTTCTCCTTTTTTTTTCACCCCCAAAGCCCCAGTAGAGAGTTGTATGTCATAGTTGCACATCCTTCTAGTTGCTGTATGTGGGACACAGCCTCAGCATGGCCGGAGAAGCGGTACATCGGTGCACGCCCGGGATCCGCCAGTAGCGGAGCGCGTGAACTTAACCGCTAAGCCACGGGCTGGCCCCTATTCTTATTCTTATTTTAAAGATCTGCTAACTGAGGCTTAGAGAGGCAAGGCCCCTGCCTAGGTGGTAAAACTTCTAAGCGATAAGGCTGGGCTTCAAATCTGAGTTCTTAATTTCCATGCTAAACGGTCCCTGCAGCACTTTTGTTAAAGGATTTGAGAATGGAGTTGATTCCACTGAAAGAGAATCTACAGCTTTTACAGACATTTTGTGGGCATTCATCTTTACAAAGAGATGTTCTCCAAAATAGATTCACCTATGATGCTTTCATAACTATTATAACCACTTGTACTAAATTATTCTCACCATTTTTGGGGTAATGGACCTACTGAGAATCTTGAGTGAAAACCCCATGAATCCCAGGTGCAGAGACCTTGACTTCACACATCCTTCTGAAGTGAAAACTCTCCTTCTTTCCATCCCTCACACCTGTGGTCACATGTGGTCAAACTGATCATGCACTACCTGGTGGCAAGGCCACTTGAGGATGGACTCAGGAGCATCTTTGGGAAGGAAGAGGTGCTGTTTCATAGAGGCCTACCTGCCATAGATGCCCTCCCTCTCAGAGGAAGGACTCAACCGATCTTTCTTCTCTAGAATTTCATCTTGGGTTCTGGTTCTCAATCTAGTTTACGGACACCCCAGCACTCATCCCCAAGTCTTATGAGTAGTTTTAAATATAAAAAAGAAAAACACTCCCTATTCACATGCATACATTTAAAATATGAAATCCTTGATGAAGAGGCAAAAACACTAAATCAACTTGGCATCTCTTTTACTCTTTCATATTAGTGTGGGCCGTATTCTCTTTGGAAAATAAGTAGGGAAAGGGCCAAGTTTGATAAGAGAAACCCAACAATTGCCAAAATGTCAATGCAACATTTTGTGAACTCCCTTCTCCCCACGGCCCAGTGGCCTCTGTGTGTCCGTGTCTTGGAGGACTTTTGGTGCTTCAAGAACAGACCACTGAACTGGCCTCCTCACTTCCCCCAAAGGAATTCATACTGAAGATTATGGGAAAGTCGTCTTCATAGCCTTCTTTTTTTTTTTTTTTTTTTTTTTTGGTGAGGAAGATGGGACCTGAGCTAACATCTGCCAATCCTCCTCTTTTTGCTGAGGAAGACTGGCCCTGGGCTAACATCTGTGCCGATCTTCCTCCACTTTATATGGGACACCGCCACAGCATGGCTTGACAAGCAGTGCGTCAGTGCGCGCCCGGGATCCGAACCCGCGAACCCCGGGCTGCCGCAGCAGAGAGCGCGCACTTAACCCCTTGCGCCACCAGCTGGGGCCCTTCATAGCCTTCTTTGTTTGGAACAACTGAAAACATGAAAAATGAAAGGCATTCTCTCATGCCCAGAACACCACTGTAGTAATAAGGATAGGGACCCACTGGAGTTTAGAACTTGTATAGTGCTTTATACTTTTTCAAAGGGTTTTCACATACATTATTTCAATCAACTCACACAACAAACTTTTGGTTTACAAACGAGAATGTAGAAACCATAAGGATCTTGCCCAAGATCAGGTAGCAGGACAACGATGGCTAGAACCCAGATTACATGGTTGGGCCAGCATGTCCATCAGGTCACTAAATAGCTCTCTATCCTATTGTCACCTTCTCTGACTTCTTCTCACTCTCCATATTCAGGCTG